CAGCCTTATGAAAGACTAAATAGCACAACAAAATAAACTTTATGAAATTTAAAAATCAGAACACAATAAACTCATGAAAAAGGATTAAAAAGTATTAAGACTAGATTGTACTAAATTGAGCAAATTCTTGTGTTTCCTATCGTTTAAATATGTTAATATTTAGAAGTTAATATATTATGGTTTCATGCACTAGAATCTTCCTAACCAGTGTACGTGCAACTATGTGACTCAAGATCCCTTGAGATCTATAAATAACAATGAAAATACCGTCCTGTTAGTTTGATCTAACGAGAGAAGCTAATTAGGAATGCTTTGTTATTGTCAACCAAGATGGCGGCTATATATATATCAATTACCTTTAAATTTTGTTCCAGTCCCTGCTTGGCCAAACATGTACCGTCTCGTCCTCCAATTTTCGCACATGCGTAGTATTCCCCTCTCATCAAAACGAATACAATAAAAGCAGCCGCTGGCAAGAACGGCTCAAACAGACTTGGCAGGGACCTCAGGCAGTAGTTGAGTCGAAGTTTGTTGTTTGTAATATGTTTTCGTCGGGAAACGATAGACCAGTAGCCATCACTTGAGCTGAATCCAATGCCAAGAAGGAAAAACATAGGAGCTGCTACCATAATGAAGCTGTAGAGAGCATAGTTTTTGCACGGACATCTAAAATACCAAAGCAGCCATTAAAGTATATTATTATTATGAATATTATTGTACATTATTACTGATATAAGCAGGAAATAAGTTTAGGAAATCGCACCATCTCGAGTACAATTCGGAATTTAGTTATAAGTACGAGTGGTGTTTTGAAAGTTTTCAAAATAAGGACGAGCCTTTTAGGCGATCGAGTTCAATTTGAGAACCTTTGAAACATCACGAATATCTTTAGATTCCGAATAGTACGAGTAGATTGTGAGATTTTTTAAATAATACACAAAATTGAGCACTCGAATTGAATTGGGACTCTACAGAGTACAATTTGGGATTTAATTGAACTCCTCTTTTCCAAACGGAATCGTGTAATTTTGTTGAGTGTATTATGAAGCAGTTAATTTTTGAATCAAGACGTAAAATTTTGTTTAAATTTTAGCTCATTAAGAAGAGAATAATTTCAGAACAATGTTTATATATTTTGACAACTCACATTAATAAAATATATGGCAGGTCTGATTCAACACATCTTTTCATTAAAGCAGTATTATATTAGTTTGATTTATAAAACATTTGTCCTTGTAAAATACTACTTTTTGCTCTGAATTACAATCTTAAATTCTCATCTATCTCTTTCATTGCTTGTAGAAAAGAATTTTTTTCAAAACCGTGTAATTAAAAAGAGGAAAAAAATAATTTGAAATTTCGAACCACATGATATTAAAACAATTAACTTTCACTTATACGATTTGTTTGATTCCATTTGTCTAAATTACAATTTCCGAATCATACATTCTTCTGTTCAGTGGAAAGAAATGTCCTTTATAGACTTGTTGAAAAGAAAAAAATACTTTAAATTCCAAAGTCAATGTATTACTAACGGTTTTATTGATTGAAGAAAATTTAAGTGCAAAAATGTGTCCAAAAATTTTAAGGTCAAAAATTCGACAATAACGGTGCTTCTTGTTGAAGAGAAAACCGCCAAATTTCATGAATAATTTCTAACTCATTAGATTTAAAGTGAAAAAAAATACTTGTCTGGAATTGATAGTTTAAATCCTCAAAAAGTCAGAATCCTATAGTTTGTTTTACACTAACCTGAAGAATTGGGTTCTCAGAAGTTCTTGTATGCCATAAACAAATACAATGACAAGGATGTTTCTGGCAGTTTTTTTGGAATACTTGAAGTTGCTGTTGTTTCGTAATAAATCATTCATTCTTGAAAGGAGGACGGTTGTTCGGAGCAGAAAGCCTCAGGATTTCACCAGTAAATCCAAAAACGAAAAAGCTCTTAAAAAAATTACAAATTGAATTCAAATTCCGATAGTTCGAGAAACACAAGAGCTGAGAAAAACAAACACATTAGAGCTTCGTTCCGGGGAACAACTGTGTTGCCTTTCAATTCTGTTCAATCAAAAGTCTTTTAGAAGATCTCTGTTCTCATCTTGATGAATTCCAGGTGGTATGGAATTGTTCAGAAAGCCTTAATCAAACACTTTTCATTGGTGAATTTTGAATGGTAAAGCGCTAATGTGAAAACCACATATATATGGATTCGCTATAATATAATTGAAAAAAAAAGCTCTTTTATCATTTAAAACTTTTTTTTTTCACGATATGTTATAATTTATTCACGACTCTTTTGTGATTTTTTGTAAACGAGCTTCTGGTTAATGAAAGAAATCATCGAGTCGCTGTGCTAATTTCCCTTTTCGCTCCAGGTTTGGTTCCCTATAAAGACCATGCAGAAATCCAAAACATTCAGCGCTCGAATTTGTCTCAGTTTGAGACTGTAATAAAATTGTGAAAAGCGCTCTCGCTCTTGAGAGCTAAATCAAATTTTTATATACATGTGATAAAGACTGCGCTTCAAGAGACCTCTTTACCTTGGTCGTAATGTGTTTTTTTTTACATTTTATTTCAGACCACCTGTCATTCTCTAGAGTATCAGTTCTTTGCTTAACGGTTGCGCACGAGAACACAATTAAATGGATGGAAATGGAACTTCTACAAAGAATCTTTTTCACAAGAGAATAACACGTGGTCTGAAATGGGAAAACATCACACCCAAGGTAAAGAGGTCTTTCTAAAAGGAAAATAATTCAGTTAAACGGGGCTACTTTACTTAAGGATCATCGAGTATGGTCACTTCAAAAGCTCGTAAAGTAACACGCATGCTTGTCATGTTGTTTTTTTTTTAATCATTTAATAACGTGAATTTTTTAGGCCTTAATAATTAACAGGGCTCTAGCCCCAATTGAAAATTATTCCTTATGAACATAAAAACAGATTTAACAAATGATTGCATAATAATTTATCCCCGCTTACATTTTAGGACTCTATTTGCATTCCACGCATTATTAACTTGCTAGTTCCCGATCTGCGATTTGTTATACCATGCACGTACTGGTGTCACAAAATCTCAGTGTTCTGTCAGGTAATAAGATACCAAAGATTATATTAACGACAGTCAGAATGGCAGTATACTGATTTCAGGATATATATTTTCGGTTCATCATCTGCCTTTTGTTACATGCAGTACTTAGGTAATGGATAGTTGATACCTCGATAGTTAATACCACGCACTGCCCACCTGGATGGGACAAGACCCGGATTTTTATACCTTAGGAGTCATTCCCAAAATTTTCGACAAGCATCCCCGCCTCTCTATATATGAGAGTAACCCACCACCCCCCTCCCCTTCGGAATTTTCGACGAGCATCCCCGCCTCTCTATACMTGAGAGAAATTTTATTCGTTTTGATTACCCTCGAATATATTAATCAAATTCAAAATGGCTCTTCTTGATTCTTCCAAWTGCTTTTTCGTATCAATTGTCGCTTTTTTAGTAGGATTACCATTAACCCATCCGTCAATTACGACCCACACCCCAACAACAGCTCCAAGRCCACTGATTAGAATAGATCCTGCGCCAGAAACGCCTTGAATTACAGCAAGGCCATTCGGCGCTAGCTGTCCTGCCCTCCACACTTGAAACATACCAAATAACGTGGCTATCGTATCGCCCTGCAGGGTTATACTCGCTCCCGCCCCTGCTCTGGCAATATYCATCATACCAAAGCATATTTTATTTGCAGTTGTGATGGGAATCTTTCCAACATCAGAAACTTTTTTGATGATATCTTGAAGCTCTTTCAWCTTTTCTTCTGCCTTTTTCAAAAGGATAGCTTTGCTTTCCACGAGCTCTTTGATTTTTTTAGCTTTCACTCTGTTAGAAACAGCGTCACCAACTGTTACAGCCGCAGCGCCTACGCCGGACCCAATCAACCCTACTACGCCAAACACTGCCAGCGGTGTGAATAGGGCAACGGTAGATGCAATGGCGACTCCAGTAGTTGCTGTGTGAACGCTATTGACTGCAGTCTCTTGTACCTAAAAGTATTATACAAGAGTAAATGTAATCCCCCGCCCCATCAAGAGCACTCTTCGATGCTATTTTTAGAATCATTGATGCTATTTTTAAAATCATTTAYGCYATYTTTAGATCATTCATTTTACTGGAGCAGAACATTGGGAACAAAAGCAAATACCTCTACACGTCCTTGTTTGGTTCATGCCAATAAATACTAAAACGGGGGCCGCGGAGCATCCTAAAAAGCGTGTGTGGGGTGGGGCTTAAGTTTAAGATTGAGACTAGTACGAGAAAAAGTGTTTGGGGGAGGGGGGAGGGGGGCTAAGATTGGACAATATAAAAGACTAGTATGGGAAATGGGAAAAGTGGGGAGGGGGGCAGTAGCCCCTGCCCCACCCCTCCGCGACCCCTGTTCAAGGGCTACATGGCTAGTAATTGTTTTACGAATATATGACGCGCATTCTATCGTCGAAGTAGTCGATCTATCATACCTGGAGGTTATCGATCCATTCTTGTAACTTTGTGCATATCTCTGGAACAGCATCAGCATAYTCTTTCATGAACGGGATAGCCTCGTCACTCGTTTTCATGAACTTTTTTATYAATTTTTGGACTTGRGGATTTTTTTCCAGCCATTGCTCATCAGCTAAAGGCCCTGACATTTTGGCTCGATTTGATTAGAAGTGCGCCTTAAAACAAAATTTAAACTTAAGTATACATTATTCTAATTTCCGTTCACTTGAGAATAACGCTAAGCTGATCGTAATCGTTTGCTCTGAACGTTTAAGATGTCTTTTAAAAGTAGTATTTTACTKCGGATTCAAAAGTGAATATGAAGATTCGCGGTTTCCGATTGGTCGAAAATTACTTCACATTTGACAATTCTTCCTCTGATCGAAAACTTTGTCCCATGTTAAAGGCGTGATTACACGGAGCAATTTTCTCTGCAACTTGTCGACGTTGTAACCTACAGCGCAATTTGAAAAATGATACGAGACAAGTTTCATCAATCGTTACGAAAAGTAGAATTCGTTTCTACTTTTGGCAACGATTGCGTCTCCATTGCACCGTGTAAACACTCTTGCAA